AAAATGGAGCTCAAGCGCAAATTCAAGCTGGAAAACTTCTGCCTCACCTGCTCCACCCAATCGCTGTGTCATGCTCTCCGCCTCCAATCCCAGCGCTGGTCCTGGACCCGGCGTGTTCAATCATCAATCAACCAAGCTCCGCTTATAAGGGTCCACACCCTCGCCAGCAGCCGCTCTCCAGCTGTGCGCAACTGGTACGCTTCTCAATGTCTGACTTCGAGTCCGATGTCCTTCTTGCTTCTCCGGCCGCCCCTCGCGGGGTCCCGGATACCCTTCCCTCCTCTCCGGTCAGGCGCAGCTCTCGTCTGGCTATGCGCTCTGGTCACTTGTCTCCTGCTTCCCTCCTTAAATCCAGGGGAATCTCCCTTACCCCAGGCCTTCGATCTCCTCAAGTGGCTTCACTAGCGGCGCTCCTCACTCTCGACGACTCCTCTCCGTCTCCTTTGCCTCCGTCTGCTCCTCTTCCTCCTCCAGTCAGCGGGAAGAGAACCTGCAAGTCCTCCGCTCCTCCCGCAAAGCGTCGCAAGGGCCGCCCCTCCTCCTCTCAGTTAACCAGATGTCTTCCCGGGCCCGCTTCTGCTTCAGCGTCGGATCCTACCCCTCTTCGCCAGGATCTCACTTCCGCTCCGGAGGCTCCCGGCCCTTCCTCAGACCTCGGCTCTCTCCTCCCTCCAGCCTCTGCAGCTCAGGAACACCTCCTCACGTCTTCACTCGTCACCTCTATCGACACTCTTCAACGTTCCGTCTCCATGCTCTCAACTCTCCTGCAGCAGGGCGTTTCCAGTGCCGTGGCCACGTCCTCGGTTCCCTTCTCTCTCGGACCTGCCATTTCCCCGCCCGCTCCTCAACCACCTCCATCAGCTTTCACTCTCGCCAGCGCTCGTCCTGCGCCCCCTTCTGGTAAGCCTGTCTTTCCTCATCATGTTTTCTTTATGAACAAGCTCACTGATTTCTTTTTTTTTTGGCCCTTCCTCTCCCTTAACAGCCGCGGCCTATTTGCCTTTACATGCGTATATTTCTCCCAGACTTCGCACTAAAATCTTGCAGGGGCAATACGTTAATCTAGCCTCCATTCTTCTCCCCTCCCCTGAGGTTGATCAAACCATTGCTTCGACTGATCAATTTTCAGCGATCATTAAATCTTCCGATCCCCGCCTTTTAAAAGATCTGTCTATTGGTCAATTCCTGGCTGCTTTCAGCGTGTATAGGGACGTCATTTGTTCCGTTTATCCCAACCGCCGAATCGAACTGGACACTTATCTGGCTTTGATTGCCGATCTTCATCTTCAATACGGCAGGTCCCTGTTTTATCAGTATCATAAGGCTTTTGCTAACAAGCCGCTGGCGTTTTGTCTCGTCATGGTCAGATACTTAATTGGTCATCTCTGGACATGGAGATTCTCATCATGATTACTCAAGCGGTTTCCTGCCACCTATGTGGCATTGCAGGCCATCAAAGCGCTTTTTGCCCTTCTCTGCCTTTCAAGTCTGGACTTCCCGCCGCAGCTCCTCCGCAGCCGCTCCTTAAGTCTAACCCGGTCGATCGTTACGGCAGACAAGTGCGGGTTCTCAATAGTATGCCCATTTGCAATAATTTTAACGAGAGTTTTTGCTCATTCCCTAATTGTGCTTTCCTCCACGTATGTAGCTTCTGCAGAGACGCCCATCCCAAGTCGGTCTGCCCCCGCTGCACCTTTCCCGGCAGGAGCCGTCGAGGCTCCAGGATTTAGTTTCTCGCTTTCTCTCCACCCCCATCCATGTCCCCGTATTAGCTTCCTTTTTGACTCATTACCCCGATCGTTCGTTTGTTGATTTTCTTATCACTGGCCTCACTCAGGGTTTTTTCATAGGCTTACCCCAACTTCCTGCTTCTTCTCTGGTCATCCCTAATCTTCAATCAGCGCTAAACGACCCAAACGCTGTGTCTCAGTTGCTGCAAAAAGAAGTATCTAAGGGTTACGTCATCGGCCCCTGCGCTTCTCCCCCCTTTTCCCACTTTCGTGTTAACCCTCTCGGAGTCGCAGTTCGCAAATATTCCGGAAAAAAACGGCTAATTCTAGATTTATCTGCACCTCATTCTGGTCCCCACCTCAGCATTAATAGCCTTATTCCAAAGCCGCCCTTCTCGCTTCATTACGCAACTATAGATCACGTTGTCGCGCTGATAAAAACGGCCGGTCCGGGTGCGTGGCTTGCAAAAGCCGACATCACCGACGCTTTCAAAATCATGCCAGTACACCCCTCCCAATGGCATCTGCTGGGCGCAAAATGGGACGCTAAGTTCTATTTTTTCGTGCGTTTAAGTTTCGGATGCAGAAGCAGCCCCAGCCTCTTTAATTCCTTATCCGAAGCATTATGTTGGATCCTTTTGAATGTCGTTAGACTTCCCTTTGTTCTCCATCTTCTCGACGACTTTCTCCTTATCGATCCACCCTCTCATTCTTCACGCTCCCTCTCCGAACTGAAAGCTCTTTTCAATCGTGTTGGCATTCCCCTCTCCGAGGAGAAAACCGTCGGTCCGTCAAAAAGGCTGGAATTCCTGGGTATCACATTAGATTCCAAAGAAATGGTAGCTTCACTGCCAGCCGATAAGCTATCTCGGATTCGCGAGATTTCTCAGGCTCATCTGTCTTCCACGACCCTTTCCAAGCGTCAGCTTCTATCTTTGCTCGGGCATCTCAACTTTGCTATGCGCATAATCCCCCAAGGGCGCTCGTTCATTTCTCGGCTGCTCGATTTAGCGAATTCAGTTCCTTCCTTGTGCGATCAGGTCGTTTTAGATGCCGGTTGCCGCTCCGATCTCGCGTTCTGGTCCTCACTGCTTAACTCCTGGAACGGTATCTCTTTTTTTTATGATGATGTCATTCTCTCGGCAGATTCTATGCAGTTTTTCACGGACGCAGCCCCGTCCGCAGGTTTCGGGGGCTTTTTTCAGGGAAGCTGGTTCGCAGAGAAATGGCCTCATTCGATTCCAAAGTCCGAGTCCTCTGCCTTTTATGAAATCATTCCCATCGCCGCAGCCTGCTGCCTCTGGGGAAGGCAGTGGAAACGTAAGCACATTGTAGCTTTCTGCGATAATGCAGCAGTCGTCGAAGCTATTAACAAAGGCCGCTCCTCTTCCAAATCTATCATGCCTTTTTTACGGCGTATTACTTGGCAATCCGTGGTTAATAACTTCATCCTCTCTGCACGCCACGTCCCAGGTCATTCTAACGCCATTGCTGATGCTCTGTCTCGCCTTCAGCTCCAGATCTTCCGTCGTGTTTGCCCTTCAGCAGACCTCCTCCCGACTTCAGTTCCCTCTTTCGAAGATCTCATCCTGAATTGATCTCCCCCTCTCTTCAGCCTTTACTCCAGTCTGCAAAATTTTACGTTAAGAACGGCCTCGCGCCATCTACATTCAAATCCTATACATACGCCTGGCTCAAGTATGCTAAATTCTGTTCCCTCCACGAGACCCCACTCTATCCTATCCGAATTAACACGATCGTAGCCTTCATTACCTACTGTTTTGAGCACCTTAATCTCACGCCCACTTATATTCGCAGCCTTCTCGCTGGGGTTAATTTTTTCTCCCAGCTTCAGCAGACTTCCTCCTCACAAAGCCTCTTTTCTAACCACGTGATAAAGCTGCTCCTGAAGGGCATTTCCAAAAGTCACCCGTCTCTACCAGATAGCAGGAAACCGATCACACTTCCTATCCTCATTAACTTGCTCAGTACTCTTAATCGCAGTTTCTATTCTCCTTATCTTAAGAGCCTCCTTAAGAGCTCTTTCCTATTAGCCTTCTATGGTCTCCTTCGTTTGGGAGAATTCACATCCCCGAACAACACTTTTATTTCTTCCAGAGACTTAGCCGTTTCTGACCTTAGTTTTCACCCAGACTTCTACAGCTTATCCCTTAAGCATTCTAAAACTAAAGGCGCCTGTACCATCGTCGTGGCCCGCACGAATGGTCAGCTCTGCCCCTTCCGGGCCATGTTTAAGTTTGCGCTTTTGAGACATCAACTGAGTGGCCTCCCTGACCCTCTTTTCTTAACCCCAGAAGGCTTGATCATGTCCGCTGCATGGTTTCTCAAACATCTGAGATTTCTGCTAGCTGCATGCCACCTCCCCCCTAGTCAATTTTCAGGCCACTTCTTCAGAATAGGAGCAGCCACATCCGCTGCAGCCCAGGGAATACCCACATCGTCTCTCCAGCAGCTCGGCCGATGGTCATCTACAGCGTTTTCATCCTATATTCGCCCGGATCTCTCAGCTGTCCTTTCAGCTCAACGCTCTCTCAGTGCTTAGGTGAGCACTGCGCAATTCGCTGGTGGTGGTTGGTCTCCTGACCCAGAGCTTTCATTTTCCTTGTTTCTGTCACGCATCCCCTGTCCCCGTGTCCTCACATGCCTCCGTCGCCGGTTGCATTTCAAGGGTTCCACCTCTCTCCGCTTCTCCCACCACCTTACCCCGCAAGTCTATTTTCAGCTCCCCTCTGCTTCTTAACCATCCATCCCTTCAGACTGGCCCGTACCCTCCATGGCTGGCTCCGCGCCGCCCCAGCTGGCCCATGTCCCAGCTGTTCTCTCTGTCTATCCAGCGAGGCACCTCTCCAGCCCGCACCTGTCATTCAGCCTTCCTCCAGGCTATTCTGCATCCCCACAAGCTGACCCGTACCCCCAGGCTGGCTCCGCGCCGCCTCAGCTGGCCCATGTCCCAGCTGTTCTCTCTGTCTATCCAGCGAGGCACCTCTCCAGCCCCCTCCTGTCATTCAGCCTTCCTCCAGGCTATTCTGCATCCCCACAAGCTGACCCGTACCCGCCAGCCCGGCTCCGCGCCGCCCCAGTATCCCCATGGCTGGCCCTCATTCACTGCCCGGCCCCGCACCATCCCAGTAGCCCCTTAGCTGATCATGTTCACCTGCCTGGCCCCGCCATCACATTAGCCGCCAAGCTGTCCTGCATCCTCCTGCCCGGTCTCTCTCTAGCTGCGTTTCCCTCAGCTGGCTCTATTCTCCAGCCTGGCATCAGTTATGGTTTATCACCGCTGACCTTCTTCCACCGGCTAAGTTTCCACGTGTCACCTCTCACCCTAAATCGATTTCTCCCATCAGTGCCTCATGTTTCTTATGTACAGCTTCCCTATCGGCTGACCTCTTGCTTCCTATGCCTTTCCTTCCCTCGCAGATCTCTCCTCCTCTTGTCTCAAGTCAACCCACAGGTCTATGGTCCCACTATTCCATTCTCTCACCTTAAGGCCTCGGCCCCGGCCTCGGCCTTTCTTTTTGGGGGGGTAGAGCATCCCTAATCAGCGTTGGGGATGTTCACCCGAGTTCACGGCANTAAAGGACTAACTCTGAAGGAGGCTGTCTTGAAGTGTTTGTTTGTTAAAGTAGTTTCGCTGTAGAATGACATGTTTTTGCCTTGTTTCTAATGGGTGGCACGACACAGGTTGATGCTTTTTAATAGTTCAGTGTATTCAGGAAAGTGTTAATTGTGTCGAAATGAGATTTAAGATAAATCAAATGATTAAAAAAATTAGAAGGTTATAATATAGTTGTTT